TGGTCTATGTGTTTAATGTACTGGACCTATTGGTGTTTGTATGGATGTTGTAGCATCCCGTTGGGATATATGTCGTTATTGATTGGATTGGATTTTCTTATATATAATTTGGGGGAACGTATTGGAATACATTGTATGATTTTGGGGTACATGATATTTTGTATGGTGTATGGCATAGGTATTTATAATGTTGGGTATATAATTACGTTGGAGTTTTCCCTAATTGTCTCTGGTCAGGTATATGTATGGTATGTCTGAACAAAATAGTTTGTTATATATTTGGGGTTGATTATTTGTAACGAATGGGGTTGATAAACTTGATATGGGCTCAACTTTAATATATTACATTGTTTATTTCATTTCTTTTGGGTAATGCTGTTGTGGATGACGTGTTTTGGATAATTTTTATGCAATTTCTATTGATATGGGGTGTATTGTAAATAGACTGGCGTATTTCTATAATTAAATGGGTTTCACATTATTGTATTACATGGTTTGTTTCATTTCTTATGTATATTTCTACTGTAGATGGCGTATTTTTAGCGTTTATTATAGATTTGGGTATATTATATTATATATGGACTGTTGATCCTATATATTTGGGTGGTAGGAAAAAACATCACCCGGATAAAAGTTCACCTGCTAAAAATGCAGAGAAAAAACATCACCCGGATAAAAAATCACCCGGATAAAAAATCACCCGGATAAAACATCACCCGGATAAAACATCACCTGAATAATACATGACAAAATTTAATATAAAATATAAAACTTTTACAATCGATGACAAGCGTCTCCAATTTATATTCTATTTAAAAATTTAAAAACTTTTTTTAAATAGAATTATTTGCTGCGCACAATAATTTGGTGCACTAATTACCGCCTTGACGTCGTTTGATTGGCTGTAGGATTTGTCTGCTTTTGTTAAAATAGTCTCAAAAATTTGTTTGGTTTTGCAGCAAATGTAGAACTTTGCTATTGAATTTCCCATTGAATTTGTTTAATTTAGACAAGTTTGATGAGTGGGTATTGTAGACATTTCAATAAGCTATCAGATAAATATCATAACTCATTTTTGGCAAAAAAAATGTGTCTGGTTTTGTAATATAGCTCCTCATTTATACTAATTTAACTGTTATCATGGAATTTATTAGAAACAACAAAGGTGGTTTGCAACTTTGCTATAATGGGTACGCCTTCAACAAAAAAAATAACAAAAAAACAACAGTAAGATGGCTATGCAGCAAACATAGTTCATTGAAATGCAATGGATCGGTTGTCACAAACTTAGAAGTGAGTAAATCTTTATTTTATTTAAATTGTAAAAATTACAAATATAAGTTAATTAAACTTAGTAATTAACAATATTAACTACCTTTATTTCAATAAATGTTTTCATATTTTTCTATGTTACAAGATAATAAAGACCTCATAAATAAATGTATTTTATGGTGTTGTTTGTAATGCGTTTTTATCAATATTGTTCTGTTTTGTAGATGAATGCAGTATTAAGTGTCACACCTCATACACATCCATCGAGTGAATCAGAAATTGAAAAACTCAAAGTAATCAACAGGATGAAACAAGCTGCATGTTTAGTGTCAACGTCGAAACCAACACACGTATACGCATCAGAATTGGTCAGCATGAATGAAGATGTCAAAAGAAAATTAACTTCAAAAGACCACATGACAAGGAGACTTAGATATCAAAAAAGAAAACATTTTCCAAAAGAACCTGAATCTGCGACAGATTTGAATATTCCGGACGATTTTAAAACAATTAGTAGCACAAGTGACACGCCGTTCCTCATGTAC